CTTAACGAAGCAAATCAATATAGCCCCACCTGGACTTACCCATCCGGAGCAACCGAACTCAAGGTCTACGTGGCCACTAATAAGTTCAAGGTAACACAATTGAAGCGACAAATAGAAGAACAAACCAACAAAATATGGACACTTTACGAGTCATACATACAAGCAATTCAATCATCACCAGAAAACAAATCATACGAAGAGGCATTCAATAAGTACTGGGAAGAAAAAGATGGAGAAACAAAATTGTCGCTTGCCACAAATATTGCACAACAACTTGACAAAAGAGCAACCGAACTAGAATGCCAAGACATAGCTATCAAACTTACACAAAACAATTCAACAAACCAAAACGCTAACACTCAAGAGACATTAATTCAACCATTAAACTCCTTAGCTCTTGAACAACGACTGCTTAACAGTGAACTAAAAATTCCAGAATTCAACGGCAATCCAGCCGAGTTTGGACCCTTCTGGGAATTATTCGAAGAATTAGTACACAAGCAACCATACTCCAACATAGGCAAACTATCAATTCTCCTGAGCTGTTGCAAAGGAGATGCAGCACGATCACTACGAATGATTCCTCGAACAGGAGACGCATACGAAAGAGCAATACAACAGCTCAAGAACCAGTACGAAGACCCCAAAAGAATTACCATACAAATGATCCGTCAGCTTAAATCAATGAAAGTATGTCATGATGACCCACGAACCCTACGAAACAACTTAAGCGATATACAAGCCATAATAGCCACAATACAAAAACAAGGAGAAGTAGTAGATTCAACCTACATGACAACAATGGTACTCGAAACATTCCCTAGAAATATTCAAGAAGAGATCGCGCGAAAAGAATTTGACAACGGTACAGAGTGGACTATGAACGACCTTATTGACAACCTGACAAACATTATCAAACGTAAGGAACATATCGAGAGTCGTAACGAACATATTCGTGAACAACACACCCTCCTCTACACAAGAACACATGAAACGCTGCCACTCCGTTGCATTGGATGTGGTCGCTCTCATAAATTCGACACATGCAATAAATTTGACACTATTCAGCAGAAAATAGGACACCTTAAAAGTATCGGCGCATGCTGGAAATGTTTCAACACACGACACAAAACAATATCCTGCAACAGACCAGACTGCCCTCATTGTGGCGGCCATCACAATCCTATCATATGCCTACGTAAATCGCCAACAACAAGAGCAACCCAACCGATTCAAACCTCCCGCAAACGCTTCAACCAGAGACCACTTACATTAAGTAACAGTAATAAGCGACGACCATCAAATTACTATAAACCTCCACGTTTTTCACGTTTCCGTTCCCTCACGCCAGACACCAATACCCTACAACAAAATCGACGCCAGTGGCGAGGCTCGTCACTATCGCCAATTAGACTCAACCAAGAAGAACAACGCCGCCGAAGGAATTCTTCACCCTTCAACCAAACCAGCGAAAACCTTCACTCACCATTCAGGCAAACTCAACAAGTACACGACTTACCAATAAGACAACGTCAACACATTAGTCAATCCCCTTTAAGGTCACCCAAACGAGTACCAGCGAACAGAGTCAAATTCGCTCCATTACCATATACTCCCAACACAACGCATATCAATTTCCAAACAGCTGTTCATCAACTCTCCAACATTGCCAAACAACAAATAAAGCCTAACTTTTCTAATCACAACAAAAGCAATATTAAAGCTCGATTAATGGTTGTACCACTAAGAGCCAGAAATGAAAATAATAACAGCGAAGAACAAGTCTACGCTCTCTTGGACTCAGCATCTGATCAATCCTTTATATCATTACCTTTAGCACAACGCCTACAACTCATACCCCACTTCGAAACCACCATCATTGTCAACACATTTGGTGGCCACGCAGAAAGGAAACATGTAACATGCGTCGAAACACTCTTAGTTAATTCTCAGGAGCAATCGATAAAAGTCAAACTACTTACACACGACATTATAACACACCCCTTAACTATAATAGACTTACAAACAGAGGATAAAATCTTTCCTGGAAGAAAAATTTTCCAACAATAACGCCATATGGTTACAAGACTCCACAATAGAAGTTACTCCCGACATTCCTTCTGGGAATAGACTACTTCAACGATATATTACAAACAAACGAACCCATCATACGACTACCCTCAGGGTTATTTATGACTCCAACCTTCTTTGGTCCAGTCATTTCCGGAACGGTAACCACAAGCGACACAGAACCCTCAACACTTTTACGACCACATTATCCGCACATATACCACGCAGTGTTCGTATGAACACTCTGATCTAGACTATTCAGACCTATGGAAACTGCCAGGCGTAGGCATAGATGAACTCCAGACAAATGAAGAGCTTAATAGACAAATAATTGCAAATTTCTACTCCACCGTTCAGAATAGAAACGGAAAAATCTACATACAATTTCCTTGGAAAACAAACAAACATCAACTAGCCGACAACTACAACTTAGCCCTAAGTCGACTGCACCAACTATACAAAATGAAAATCAAAAACCCCAAGTGTTGGGACGATTACTGCAATATTATAAAAGAACAGTTAGACAAAGGCTTCGTGGAAGAAGCCCCTTACGTGACAAATGCGATCAACCCCATTTACTACATACCACACCAAGCGGTAATAAAGGCATCAAGCGTGACAACTAAAACACGCATAGTCCTCGATGCCTCCTCCAAGATGAAAGGACAACTGAGCCTTAACGATGTAATACACCAAGGACCACTGATTCTACCAACCTATGCGGTATACTTTTACGAGCCCGACTGGGCCCGCTAATTATGATTGCTGACGTCGAGAAAGATTCCAATATAACCCCAAGAGAATCCGAAAGAGACTCTGTGCGATTTCTCTGGCTTAAAAACGTCAATCGACCTCCAACTCAGGACAATGTACAACTTCTTCGATTTTGTCGTCTACCCTTCGGAATAAACGCTTCACCATTTCTTCTTGGAATATCCATTCAATATGGAATTGAACAAGCAAAAATCAAGATGACAC